CCATGTCCTCAATTTATTGTATACATAAAAAATTTCAGTCTGATTTTATGAATCTTTAGTGAGTGTTTGGTGATACTGAGTAAAGCTTCAGTTTCCTCATCTGATAAATGGGAACAGTAATAACACTTATTTGATAGGACTGAAAGCTTAAATAAAATAATATATGTAAAGTGCATAACAAAATACCTGGCAAAGAGTAAATGCTCAATAACCAGCTATTGTGATGTGTTTCTTTATGTGCCAGGTGTTAGATAACAATATCTGTCTTGCAGGGTAACAAGAGGTATGCATGGAGTTTGAATAAAAAAGGTATTTAATAAATAGGAGTCCCTCCCTCTCTCCATTTGCTACAATAGACGGGGGGAACTGGGACACACATAAGTTAGTATTAATAACATGCTGCAGAGGAAGCGGGTGAGGCTGCCAATCTCCTCCCCTCCATGACTGAAGTCCTTATTTCCCCAAGTTCATGGGGGTACTACCGATGACTGACAAGTCCGAGTTGAGTCCCTCTGTGGGTTCTGCCCTAAGATAAGGAAAGCTGCTTCATCCAAGGTTATATGCCCTTCTTAGCCACCTCCCACCCCACCCGATGACTAACTGACATGGGAATAGTAGGGTAGACCCACGAGCCCGATTGAGGAATAATCTGAAGGGCCATCCTAGCTCCAAAGTTCCCCAACATCAGCTGAGGCTTTCGACAAAACTGAAACACAATTCAGCTTCTCCCTCTAATCCTGCTTCTTTCACTCCCCTGAAGATATTGATCCCAAGAACACCCCTGCACACAAATCTGTCTCAGAGGCTGCTGCCTGGGGAAATGACTTACTACACTTGCCCAAAGTCAAAGAGCTAATGAGAGATCAAAATGGAATTTACTACAGATGTGCCAGCATAATTCCACAATTATAAAATGAGTGGAGGAAACCAAATGAAAGAACCAACCACAAGACCTATAAGGGAATATTATAAACAATACCCTAAAATATTCTAATAATGCCTTGTGGATCAGAATAAAAGGATCCCTATTGAATTGAGCTGATATAAAACAAGAGAACATCTATCCCTACATGGAGAGGAAAACAGCAAGGTGATGAAGGAGGTGAATTTCCTGGGATGCCTTGTATCTCACTTCAGAAGTAGAGACTAATTAGACCAAAAGGGGCTTTAAAGTCAGACTAGCTCCTGACTTTTATTTTATGCAAGTGGACACTGCAACCCAGAGGAATACTTAGCTTACCCAAGGGCACAAGTAACAGAGTGGCCTAGTCTAGCCAGGCCTCTTATTAACCTTCTGAGCCCTTCAGCTTTTTCTTCAATATATGTAAACTGTAACTCCCTCAAAAAATTCATCTGTGTTCAAACAGAAGTATAAAGTGTATTATAAAACTAGGTATGACTTTCGAATTATGAATCAGTTCACTCAGGGAATTTCCTGGACCAACATGGATAATTGGGACTTGACCACGTTATGAGTTTTCACAGAATGGCTTTACAAGGAAGGTTAGAACTCACTATCTATACCTCTAACTACATTAGCAATTAAAGTTCATCAAATATTGTATCTTAATGGTCTTATCTCAAAATGAGGATAATAATTACTATCTTACTCACTAGGATGCCAAAAAGAGTAAATATTTAATGGTAGCAATGCATTCTAAATGCCACATAAAGAAACACGGCAATATATATAGCAGCTTCTAGCAGGTTAAAATTATAATAGGTTTACATTATACATGACTGATCAAAAAAAGCCTAAGTAAGACACAGGAACATTTAGATATCTGACTGTTTCCAACCAGGAGAGCAAGGTTTAAACTGATAAATCAAGACAGCCCTATTCAAATAAGAAAGGTCTTGAAAATCCCTGTGGTAGGCAATTCTACCACCAAGGAAATTAAGACTTTGAGTAAAAAATAGGGTAATAGGGTGGAAGCTAAATGCAAATCCATGATTACTTTTAAAATACTTTATAATTATGAAAACAGGGTAAGCGTAACAAAGAAAGAAATATCAAGGACATTCTATACAGTTTAAATTGGTTCTAATTGGTACTATATCATTCATTTTGACATTCTATTCCTTTCCTGCTAGAAACCTCCCATATCTCTATATTCTTTTGTTTCAATGAAATAATAATAAATATAATTTGCTAAGAAGCATTACCTCTTTCATTTTCCATATCTAGTCCCTTATCCAAAATGCTCAAAGAACAAACTTGGTTCTAAAATATTTAAATATTTTAAATATTTGGGTAAATTTTATTTACCTTTCTTGGGAAAGTTGAGAAGGTACCATACAAAAGTCCCTTCCCGTAGCATAGTTTGGCCCATGGTTTTTCCTCCTGCCAGAAATAGGTTTTGGCACCCCTTTAAATGTAGTTCAGCTTCCTGTCTTTTAACAAACCAAACGAGCAAACTGCTAAGGCTCTTTGATTCTTTTACCAATTACCAAGACCTCTTTGAAAAATCTCTATTTCTACTCTTGCCATAGCTTTTACAATTTCCTCTTTTATCCTTTTTCTTCTTTTTCTAGTTATACTAGGGATAATTTACAAATGAAATTATTACAGCTAAAAGAAAAAAATATACAGAAGCAAATGCATGAATACCAGGATTTTCTATAGAGAGAAATTGCAGTAACAAAAATGATAATAACAGTACTAGTATAGATAACTAGGAAAATGTGGTATAAACTAATCTACCCAGCACTCAGCCAATGGCTTGGATGGAACCAATCAGCAATTCATTAAATTATAATGGTCCTACATTAATAAATTGATACTGAACTATGGGAAAAATTCAAAGGAAACAACATTTATATTAACTTTCCTTACAGGAAAATACAAAATACAAAACAATACTGCTGAAGAAATTATACAAAATATGTTATATTGAATCAGTGGTCTTCAAAATAGGTGACTGCCTACAAATGGCAGTATCCTAAGACTTTTCAAAGAACAGATAGTTTTAAAAGCAGAGGTAGTTTAAAGGAATGGATTTCTGCATGATAAATGAACTCCTTCCCTAAAACTGTTGTTCTCTCTTCAAGGAAAATAATCAAGAATCTAAGATTTCTGACTTTTATAGAAAAGTTTGTTCATATATATACTAAAAAAAAGATGACGGATATCAAATAGTTAAGGTTAATATTCTATTGAATATATTTTAAAAAGCAACAAGTTTTATTTGTAAACATCAATATTCACAATATCCTCAAAATTATATCTTTTACAAATGTTTAAACTTACAATTAAAAAGTTTTAGCTGTCAACATAAAAAATGTGCATAATATTGAACATTTCTTGATACTCATTAGGGAGATGGTGAGCAAAAAAGTTTGAAAGCTACCACACTAAATGATGTCAAAGTTTCATTAACCTCTAATATTCTAATGCCAAGATTCTAAATACGGAACCACCATACACATGTAAGTCTGGGCTGTCAGAAGTGACACTGATAGGTGGGCCTAATTAGAGAGCCCTCTGTAGAGATGGTGAGATTTGGGCAGGGTTTTATGAATGGGAAGTAGGGAACCTGAAGAACCTGAGAAGAGACAAACAGGGTAGAGGTGAGAGGCAGGGTCCAGCAGGGTGCAGTCCTTTGCAGGAGAGGGAAAGCAGATGTGCCCAGGTGAAGAATGGAAAGGACAAGGGTTTTCAGGTCACAAGAAGCTTGAGTTCAAGTTTTACCACTTTTATAAGTTGTAAAATTATGGCATGTTAGTCATTAACCCTTTCTAACTGGGAGCCGTTGAACAGTAGCAGCTTGTATAGTGGTCAAAAGCATGAGCTCTGCAACCAACAGAATAGACTGAGACAAAAACTGCCATCCTCTAGAGGTATGATCCTGGCCAGGTTAACTAAACCTCTCTGTGCCCCACTAACTTTATGCGTAAAAAGTAGATACTAAAGGTATCCATGTTATAGGGTTATTATAAGGATTGAGTAAATCCATATTAACAGCTTAAAAACAGTGCTCCGAATACTTGCTCTGTTGTTGATAATGGTACTATCATTATGCTTATTATTACTCTCTGATTCTCAATGTCAAATTGAGATCAAGAGATTATCACTAATAAGTATTTTTTGAATTAAGAGTCTTAAAAAAAGGTATAAGATAAATAGCTAAGTCTATAATAAAAGCCATTAACATAGCTCCTCAGTTTTCCAGAAAAAGTATGTGATAATTGTCCATTGAAGTTCACTGCTGTCATAACTAACAAAGTAACATAAATCTTTTTCCTTGCTTAAAGGCCAAAACCCAAAAGAATACATTGCATTTTGTTCTACAAAGAATATCTTGTGATGTATTCAGTAGGACAACAATTGGTTCTTAAGATGACACATCTATTAGAAATTATTTTGTGATATGGTAGGAACACTTTGACTTTAGCTAAAGGAGTTCCAACACTAACGTACCAAAAGACCTCATTGTAAAAGCCAAGCATAAAAGCAAAGGTAGCAATAGGACAAAAGCTCCTTGAGCTCTGTGATAGTTTGGTCAGTTAAATGCTATTACTGGAATATTTTTAAAATTACACAGGTAATTCATAATTTATCATTCATGCTCTTTTCAATAAACATATTCAGAAGAGAAGTTTGGTGTTCCATCTCAACCCATACTTTTCAAACCATGTTCAGGACAAATATCATAGTTTTTTCAGGAATTATTTTAGAAGTTAGAAATTTTAACTTGAAACTTGCTTTCATAAATTCTGGCTAAAATCTTGACCAAAAATGCAAAAAAGACAAAGTTTAGAAATGTATTGTTTTAAGAAAAGCATTTAAAATACCATGTTTTAACTTTTAAAAAGAAGTTCAGACAACAATAACTAAAGGGACATATATCAAAAGATTGTACTGTTTTCTAACTTCATTCAAGCATTCTAGATGAACTAAAACTCAGGATATGTTCAATATTCTGAGATTTTTTTGACAAAATAATGTGTATTAAGAAGTAAGAGAAGCAACAGATCTGCATTAGAATTTAAAAACTTACAAGTATGTCTGGCCAATGAGTAGTTGGATCCACCACTAGTCAAACCAAATCCCTCAGGAATTTGACTAGAGCTTCGAGGTCTGGTCAATAATTTAGGAGGTTCAATTTCAGCACCAAATTCAGCTCCTATTACTCCAAGTAAAACAATAGCAGTAGCTTGCTTCCGTCTCTCCTCATAAGATGTGGAAATTTTTTTCATTTGTGGGACACTTGATAAGCAACCTGAAAACCAAAACAGCAATATAAATTTTAAACATATCAATACAAAAAAGAGACTTGATTAGGAAAGATTGTGCATTTAGGAAAAAAGAGTATTATAAAAAAAAAGGGCCCCGGAACATCTGATTATTCACATGCAAAAGAATGAATCTGAACACCTACCTCTCACCATACAAAAAAATCAACTCAAAATGGATCACAGTCCTACATATAAGAGCTGAAACTAAAGAATGCTCAGAGGACAACATAGATACATATCTTCATGACTTTGGGTCACACAATAATTTGTTAAATACAATACCAAAAAGCATAATTTTGAAAAAATTTAAATAGGACTTCATCAATATTAAAAATGTTTGTGCTTGAAAATACACATTCAAGAAAGTATAAACACAGCCCACAAACCCAGAAAATATTACCAAATCATATATCTAATGAAGATTGTATCTAGATTCCGGGCTAAAGCAATCCTCTTGCCTCAACCTCCTGAGTAACTTGGGATTACAGGTACACGCCACCATACCACGTTTTGAATACCTAAAGAACTCTTACCACTCAATAATAAGAACAATTTGAATAGATATTTCCCCAAAGATGTATAAATGGGCAAAATACACATGAAAAGATGTCAAACATCATTAGTCATTAGGAAAATGCAAATCAAAACTACAATGAGATACTACTTCATATCCACTAGAATGGCTGCAATAAAAAAGGCCACAAGTATTGCAGAGGATGTATATTGCTGGTGGGAATAATTGAAATGACAGAACTACTTGGGAAAATAGTTCAGCAGTTCCTTAAAAAGTTAAACATAGAGTTACCTTATGGTCCAGCAATATGTAGATACTTCCTAGGTATCTATTTACCCAAGAGAAATGAAAAAAAAGTATATACAAAGACTCGTACATGAATGTTCACAGTAGCATTATTCAAAATAGCTTTGGAAACTACTTAGAAGTCCATCAACTGATGAATGAATAAACAAAACATGGCATATCTACACAACAGAATATTAGTCAGCAATAAAAAGGAAGGAAGGAAGTCCTGATATATGCCACTACATGAATGACCTTGAAAACATTATGCTAAGGAAAAGAAGCCAGTCATAAAGGACCATATATTGCATGATTTCATTTATATAGAACGTTCAGAATAGGCAAATCCAGAGAGACAGAAAGCAGATTAGTAGCTGGCTGGGGTGGTGATGGAATGGTTAATGATGTATAATTAGTACTAGTTTTAGAAGGTAATGAAAATGTTCTAAAATTAAAGTGATACCTGCACAAATCCAAATATACTAAGAATCACTAAATTTTACAATTCAAAAACAGTTTATGGAATATAAATCATATCCCAATAAATCTGTTTTTAAAAACAATTGCTCATTAACCAATTTATTAATTTGCTCAATAACTTAAATATTTATTTCAGCATCTATTTTGGGCCAGGAAATTACAAACATGAAAATAAATAGCCCAAGTTCTAAAGAATCTCACAATTGCATTAAAAAAGGAGAGCCTGTTCTTAAAGGAGGGCATGCTGGATATAGGATTCAAAGGATAAGGAATCTGCCAGGCAATAAGAGAGAAGTGGACAACAAGCAGAGGAAAAGGATGATTATTCTGTCTAGATGGTCAAGAATGCAAAAAAACAACCAGATATTTGAAGAAATATTTGTAACCTGAACAAACTCAGCAAAATTTCATATTCAGAAGTATCAGTGTGATACCAAAAAATAATGAAAAACAATTTTACATCTGTATTAGAGTATCAATAAATAGAGAATAAGAAGGAATTAACATTCCTAATACATAACACAGCTTCTTAAATTTTCCTTTCTCAATCTTTCTCTCACTATGGTAACTACAGCTCAATCACCCTTCAAAATTCTAAGACTTGGTCCTTTGCTTACTCCTACCCCCTTTTCAGTTCTACTCCATTCTAAAAGTATCTAACTCTTTAATTTTTGTTTGATATTTATTATGCAATATTATAAGCATCCATAGAATGACTTGGAAGATACATAAAGAATATTTTGACATACATGTACACAACTAACCAACTTTATAAAATCTTGATCTTTTTCCGTAAGTATTTCAGAGTTAAACAATAATCAACTAATGTGGATATAACTAAAGCCCACTGTGGATTGCATCTTAAGCTCACTGTCCCACCCTCCTGCCCTTAAGGTCACCACAATCCTGACTGTATCAAATTTTATATCTATTGTATAATCATATCAATGTTATCTGAAATATTAACATATTTCCTGGCCTGGAACAGTGCTTGCATATATGGTATAAATCCTGGATGAATGGATGGTGACAGGTATGTAGGTAGACAGATAATCTAAACAGACCAATAGACCCTGAACTAAATTTGCTAATAGGGGCTTTTTACATCTATGTCCATAGTGAGATCTGGTCTATGATTTTCTTTTCATATACTAAACTTGTTGGGTTTTAGTATCAACATAATATAAGCCTCAAAAGATGGGTTAAGTAACTTTCCCTTTCCCGTTCCCTGTGTCTCCCCTTACCTTCCCCTATTCTCTGAAAACAGTTGAAGGATTTTTGAAATTTGATAAAATACTCTTTTAAAACTATCAGAGTCTTCATCTCAGGACGCTCTCCACCTAGAGTCCAAGGATGGGGGATGGTAGTGGAAGTAGCAGGATACAGGAAGGAATATTTATTATGACTTCACTCTCTTTAATACTTCCTTACTTAGATTGGCTTTCTTCTTCTTGAGTCATTTATGGCAGCTGATAGTTTTGAAACAATTATCTATTCCATATAATTTTCAAATTTATTGGTGTGAAGTTATTCACAGTATTCTCTATGATTAAAAAAATCTCAATTGTATCAGCTGCTCTGGACCCTTCAAACGCTGTGTATTTGTGCCTTCTCAAACATTATTTTTCACACCTTTTTAAAAGTTGTGCTAGAAATACATATTTTAGTTTTTAAAAATACATTGGTTTTGATCTTATTGTTTCATTGTTTTCTATTTAACTCATGTCTTTTCTTATTTTTATTATTTCTCCTTTCTTCCATTTTGTTTAGGTTTTCTCTCTTCTTTTTTTTTGTCTCTAGATTCTTAGTTTGAACAGAACTCATTTTCACTATTTCCTAATTAGTAAGTTAACCTTACTAGTCACCTGTTTAATATGCATTTCCTCCTCTCCTTTAATAACACAACTTCAATTTTATTCTGAGTAGCAATGCACACAGATCCTTTCAATGCCCTTTCAGGAACTGAAGAAGCCAAAGCCTAGCTCCTGGCTTTAAACTTCATTCATGGTGTATTTTAAGTCCTCTTTAGCTTACAGGAGCCAAAAGCCTGCTTCTGGAAAGCAGCTAATGGTTTCAGCCTAGCATTTCCATTCATTACTGGTCCACAGAGATGTCTTTTTTGAGCCTAGTTATGTCTCTTTGGTTTTCTATTTGTCTATTTTATCCATCATAGCTATATATTTGGCACAGAGGGATTAAAAAAAGTGAACTCCCGGAGCCATCTTGATCGGAGGTCAGCTTTCTGCTCTTTCTAATATTAATCCATCCAGCTTTCTGGCCACTTTCTGTTCTTTGCTGTACACAATGATTGAATCAATTCAACAAAGGGCACTCAGAGCTCAGTATGCCAACCAAAATATTAGCAGCAAGGTCCTCTGAATACTTTTTGGTATTTTGTTTTATTTTGTCTCTTTATATTTTTGCTTTGTCATTCTATATTACTGGAGGTAAGGAAAACTAAAAGGGTACCAAACCATGAGAGGTCTCATGGACCTTGCTAATGTCTATTTCAAGAATAAAGTAAGGTGAGGTGGCTAGAACTCTATGTCCTAAGAGGAGAATTGTGAAAAATGAGACAGGAGAGGCAGACAAGGGCCAAGTCACATATGGCTCTATAGGTTGTACTCCCATTTCAATTTTTATGCTATTAACAAAGATACTTAAGACAGGTTTTAAACTACAGAGTGACTTAATCAGATTCAGGATTTCAGAAAACTACTCTGGGCATGGTACAAAGAATGTTGGAGGAGGGTGATCAATTAGGAGGGTTTATAGAAATCCAGGTGAGACATTAAGGTTGATTTGGTTTTGTAATGTTAAACAGGAGATGCAGAGAAGTAGAGCACTTCAAGATAGAGGGTGAGGTCTAGGTAGCTGAAGGAAACACTGCTGAAAGATTTGAGATGCCCCGAGTCCTTTTAAAAATCCTGATCAAAACAAAAACAAAACAAAACAATCCTGGCAAGAGAAGTAGATACGGCCTTTCCAGAAGCTGAATTAAAAAGACTCCTGGAGCACATGACTCTTTAGAATACAGTTTAAATTCCATTGTTAGCTATGCTAAAAGGCACAATAAATCTGGATGTGGGCAAGAAGACCTCGTTGAGTCTAAGAAATGGAAATGATGAGATATTATAAAGAAGCCAATAATTGAAAAAGAATAATTGCCTGAGAAAGTAGCATTAAAATAGTAAAGGAAAAAAGGAGGATTGGTTATCTAGAAAACTAAGATGGTAACATCAAAGAGTAGTTACTGCTTACTTGGATTCCAACAAAAGTTTGGTGAGTATAAAAAAGATATAAAAACGATTTGTTGTTGTTGGAGTTTCTCAGCTTCCATACATCATAATTTTTTGAAGTTAGTTCTAGAAATTTATCATTAGTTTTTAAGTAGTGTCCACAGAAGATAGATTCATTCTGAAAAATATTCTAATTCTTTCATGAAAAGTTTTAGTTATTACCCATTTTCCTAATTTGTTTAATTTTGTGTATTTCAAATCATATGCAGGTTGTTTTATAACGATGCTCCTGCAATATTACAAAATTATTTCATAATTTTTTCATGATAAATCACATTTCATGAATTATATTTCTTATAAAAGCCCTAGATTTAAATGTTTAAAACTATTCAATTAATATTAAGAAATACCTTCTAATCTGATAGTCATACTATGTATTATTCCCTCTTTATGGGAATTTTCTGGT